CGCTGAGTACAGGGGCAGAATGACCTCCCTGCTCCTGCTGGCCACACAATTCCTAATGCAGGCCAGGATGCCCTTGGCCTTCTTGGCCACCAGGGTTGAATATGAGCCACCACATTGCTGGCTCATATTCAACCGGTTGTCGATCAGCACTCCCAGGTCCCTTTCTGCCTGAACGTGTCCAGCCACACTGTCCCCAGCTTATAATATTGTAGGGGATTTTTGTGGCCAAAATGTAGAACTCAGCACTTGGGCTTTTTGAACTTCATGCTGTTGGACTCTGCACACCCATCCAACCGATCTGTCTCTCTGCAGAGTCCTCCTTCCTTCCAGCAGATCAACACAAGCTCCCAGCTTGTGTCATCTGCAAATTTACTAATGAAGGACTTGATGCCCTCATCTATGTCATCTACAAAAATATTAAATAGAACTGGTCCCACCCAGTACAGAGCCCTGAGGGACAGCCCTGGCCCCAGCTGGATGCAGCAGCGCTCACCAGCACTCTCTGGGTCTGGCCATGCAGCCAGTTCTGAACCCAGCACAGAGTGCTCCTGTCCCAGCCCTGGGCTGCAGCTTTTCCAGGAGTGTGCTGTGGGAGACAGTGTCAAAGGCCTTGCTGAAGTCTAAATAGACAACATCCACAGCCTTTCCTGCATCCACCAGGAGGGTCACCTGGTCACAGAAGGAGACCAGGTTGGTCAGACATGACCTACCCTTCATAAACCCCTGCTGGCTGGGTCTGATACCCTGGCCATCCTGTAAGTGCTGTGTGATAGCACTCAGTGTGAACTGTTCCATTATCTTACCTGATACTGAGGTCAGGCTAACTGACCTGTAATTACCAGGATTTTCCTTCCTACATTTTTGTAAACAGGTGTCCCATTGGCCAGTTTCCAGTCATCTGGAACCTCACCAGTGAGCCATAACTCTTGATAAATGATGGAGAGCAGCTTCTCAAGCTCATCTGCCAGCTCCCTCATCACCCTGGGGTGAATCCCATCAGGTCCCATTGATTTATAAATATCCAAGTGTCCCAGCAGTTCTCTGACTGCCTCTTCTTGGATAACAAGAGGACCATTCTGCTCCCTGGCACCACCTACCAACTCCTGAGGACAATTGTCTTGAGGACAAGCTGTCTTACCACCAAAGACTGAGGCGAAGAAGCATTTCTGCCTTTCCCTCATCTTTAGTAACTAGGTTGCCTTCCTCATCCAATAAGGAACACAGGTTGGTTATACCCTTCTTTTTACCATTAATATATTTGCAAAACCATTTTTTATTATTTTTAAGAGAAGTTGCCAAGTTAAGTTCAAACTGAGCTTTGGCATCCCTAATATTTTTTTCTACGTGTCCTAGCAGCTCCCTTAAATACTTCCTGAGAAACCAGTCCCTCCTTTAAAAGATGATACATGTTTTTTTTATTTCTAAGTTCCTTCAAAACCTCTTTGCCCATCCAGACTGGATGTTTGCCTTGTCGACTCATTTTTCGGCACACAGGGACAGTCTGTTCCTGTGCCCTCAAGATCTCTCCTTTGAAGCACATCCATCTCTCCTGACTCCTTTGTTTTCAAGGGCTGTTTCCCAAGGAACTCTCTGAATAAGTCTCTTAAATAAGACAAAGTCTGCCCTCTGGAAGACCAGCGTAGAGATCTTATTGATATTCCTCCTTATTTCACCAATTATCACGAATTCTGTAATTTCATGATCACTGTGCCCGAAGCAGCCTCCAACCTCCACATCACCCACCAGTCCATCTCTATTTAACATAGTCCCTCCCCTGGTGGGCTCACTCACCAGCTGTGACAAAAAGTTATCCTCCACACACTCTAGACACTTTCTAGACTGCCATTTTTCTGCTGTATTAAGTTCCCAGCAGATGTCTGGTAGGTTGAAGTTACTTACAAGAACAAGGGCTGATGATCTTGGAACATTGCTCAGTTGCTTATAGAATGAGTTGTCCACCTCTTCTTCCTGGTTGGGTGGATGACAGCAGACTCCCAGTAGGATGTCAGCCTTGTTGGCCTTCCCCCTAATTCTCACCCATAGCATTTAACTTCATCATCTTTAGGTTCAATACCTGTGGCATCCAAAGCCTCCCTAATATAAACAGCCATCCCTACACCTCTTCTCCCTTTTCTGTCTCTTCTGAAGAGCTCGTAGCCATTCTGTGCAGTGCTCCAGCTATGTGAGTCATCCCACCACATTTCTGTGATGGTGACTACATGATAGCTCTGCTGTTGGACCATGGCCTCCAGCTCTTCTTGTTTGTTACCCATGCACTGGTATCCATGCACCTCAGCTGGGCTGCTGACTTCTCTTCTGACTCAGGCTTACCACCCTTGGGCCTGCTTCCAGACAGCCCAACATCATCCCCTTCCCCCTTCTATCCTAGTTTAAAGCCCTCTCAACAAGGTCTGCCACTTCATGAGCTAGAAACTTCTGCCCTTAACAGAGAGACGTATCCCATCTTATTCCTGTAGAGCAGGTGCCGTAAAAGTTGCCCCATGATCATAGAATCCAAAATTTTGCCGATTACACCAACCCTTGTGCCACTTGTTAATTATGTCAGTTCTCCTATTTCTTTTATCATTTTTCTCTGCCATCAAAGGGACTGAGCAGAACACTACCTGTGCACCTGTCCTATCAACCATCCTATCAACCACTTGACCCAGTGCCCTAAACTCCCTTTTAATTGCCTTGACACTCCTCTTTTCAATCTCATCACTGCCAGCCTGGAGTATCAGCAGTGGATAATAATCAGAGGGCTGAATCAGCCCAGGCAGTCTCTCAGTGATGTTTCATACCCATCCCACAGGGAGGCAGCAGACTTCCCTGTGGGATGGGTCCAGTCAACATATGGGGCCCTCTGTTCCCCTCAGAAGGGAGTCACCCACCACGATTACTCTTCTTTTCTTCTTGATGTTAGAGGTGGCAATCCGTTTTTTAGACAAGCCATAACTGGGAGGCTCACTGGGCAGATAATTTTCTTCTAAATCATCTGGCTGGCTGTCTAGATCCAGGGCCTCATACCTATTCTAAAATTGGCAACTGGCTAGGGGATAGGGAGTGGGAGGGATTTTTGTTATTACCTCTCCAAGCAGGGATGCATTTCCACTCCCTTTTGTCTACCAGGTACCCCTCTAATGCCTGAGAGTGAGAGGCATATGAGTCCTCTGACCCTTGGTGGGCCTCCCTTAAAGATGTAAGGGCTGAACTCCACCAGTCTATTTCCCTTTCACTATCCCTGATACTCCTTAATCATTCAACTTCCTCCCTAAGCTCGGCCACCAGTGAAAGGAGGTAATTCACCTGCTCACACCATAGGCAGGCTTCCTCCACAGCACCCCTTGAAACCACTTATAAGCTCAAACACTCCACACAGGAATGGGTCTGTACGGACACATCCTTTTTGGAGGGCTCCACTTGGTCACATACCCTTGTACCAACCACAGATTTTGACCGGGTTAAAACCATTACTAGGAGAAAGCCCAAAATCAAGCAACCAATAAAAACACCTCGAACAACACACAGCACACCTAACTAGCAAGAAAACCTGCAACCCTACATGCTTCCTCTGCCTGTGTGAATTGCTGTGCAAACTGCTGTCACCACACCCCTTTTTGCCCACTCCCCAGAGGCCTCTTATAACCAGTCACTCGGGAACAAAGGAAACTCCATCTCCCGTTCCTGAATGGCTCACAGTGCAAGCAACTCACCTGCTCAGCGTTCTTTTAAGTTATGGGGCTGCCTGATAATCCAGAGCACTGCATTAACCAATGGTCATTATAGCATAATGGATTCACATTGTGATATGAATCATAGATTCACAGGGTGGTTTGGCCAGGAAGGAAACTTCAACTTCATCCAGTGCCATGGGCAGGGGCACCTTCCACTGTCCTTAGCTCCCTCTCCCAGGGCTGCTCCCTTTGCTCATCCCCAGCCTGGGCTGATCCTGGGGCTGCCCTCATCCAGGTACAGTTCCTACACTTGGCCTTGCCAAACCTCACAAGATTCCCCTGGGTACATTTGAATATCCCATATTGTTCCTTTTTAATTCCCTGTGCTGATAGTTGCTCCAATTGGACTAGAGGATGGATGTGGCCAGAGGGATTCACCAGCCCTTGTCATAAGCCTGGTAACCAGCAAAACTGTTGGGGTCCTGGATGCCCTTTCTTTTGGACAAAGTGTGCTGGCAGATTGCTTCCTGGCTGTCCCCACACAGCCCAATTGGGAAGTTAACTTTCAGTATTGGCAGCACCAAATGTTCACAACTCAGCTTGCCAGGCTTCTGAAATAATGAAATTGGGTTAAAAAGAAGAAGTTTAAAAATAACAATCTACAAGATCCTTTTTTGTTGGCTTCTGAGATAAGGGAGGGATTTTGGCCTGTTTTGTCAAATATTTCCCCAGCATTTTTAAATTTCTACCCTGCTATTGGTGTAGTTTCCAGAAGACTGCAGGCATCATGGGGGTTGGAACAAATCTGTGAAAGTTTGGAAAACAGAGGCTTGTGATGATTACGTTTATGCATTGCCTTAAAAAAATGCCATCTTTCCAAACAGGCAAAATAAGCACTGTATTGTGACTTTTGAGATGTCACCAAATGACACATCCTTTGCTAGCAGAGCCAACAGAACAGAGGAAGGACCCAGTGCCCCCCACATTTAGGAACTACTGTAGATGTAAAACTGAAGTTTGGAGCTTTTACTTCTTCTATCCTCATAGATGTGTGTTGTTTATGAGCACAGATAATTACTGGCCTTCAAATTTGTATGGGGAGCCTGGTATTGTTTTCATCCAAGGACTTGCAGAGTCTCTGGGAAGTAAAAATTATTTGTTTACCCTAGTAAGGTCATATCTTGTTGCTCTTGGTATCTTTTAATTGTTTTTGATGAATGTGTCATAGTCACATTTGTATATTAAGAAATAGGGCATGAGAACTCATGCTGATAGACTTAACCTAATGAATGATATCAAATATCAACTGCCTCGTTTTCTTGCTAGAGGGCTGCAGTTTAGCTGGCAGAATGGAGAGGAATTGGCAAATTGGACCGGCACCTTTAATTTCACGGATGACGGAGCAGTGAAGAGTGGCAGTGACACAGGCACCAGGTACCAACACCCGAGGGAATGACTATAGAGATCTTTCTCTCCTTGTATCAACAACAAATGTGAGCACAGGCTGTATGAAAAATGAGATCTGCAGTGTGCTTTGGCTGCTTGGCACTGGTCCCCACAGTACAGAAGATGTCAGGGATGTCCAAGCACTGTGCTGTTTTCCCCTTTGGAAGCCTTGGGGACATTTTGGAATATGCCATAAGCACCCATGAAGTCTGCAGGAGGGTGGTTTCTGTGTCCAGGCCTCTCCTATTTCCCTACCAATGCTGTGTGTCAAGGTGTGGCAGTATTGGAGCAGGGGACTTTGGCAGAGAATGTCCCAACATTACAATATTGGTGCATACAGAGCACACTGGGGAATGTGGTCTTTAGAATAAAACATATATTCCATGAAAACATGGTTTAATTTAAATTCTTTTCAGGGCCTAGCAGGGGAAAAATGTTCTGTCAAGATCAGGCTGTAGTATTTCCTTTATTTACGGTATTTGGCAACATGAGAAGCACTGATGTGCTGCTGCACTTTGTACTTCCTGGTTTGACATGGGCTCAGGTGTCTGCAGGGTCATGTGCAGAGTCAGAGAACTGGCAGCAGTTTTGCCTAAAGAACTCCACAGCTGTCCCAGGCCATCTGCACAAATCCAGGCATGGATGTAGGGTGGATATCTGGGCTCTGTTCCTGGAACAACAGTTACAGGAGTTTAAAAATCCTGAGTCATGTGTAGCATCAAGTTCAATAAGCAGCAGGGAGATCTTAGAAAGAGCTGTGAAATAAAGAAAGAACTAAAAACAATTAAAATAACCTTACACTTAGTACTTGTGTATAAACAAAACTCTGGGTAAATTGCCCATTTTATTTTGAATATCAGCATTTTGTAACCATACACCACTGCAGCTGTGGAGCTGATAGCACTTCAAAGGCAAGCAGAAGTTGCAGAGTCTAACCTGCCAGAAATCATCCTGTCACTGAACCACAGCAATGCTGCAGTTCCTGTTCAGGCTCTTGCTGTAATGTGATCCTGTACTAGTGCTGCCTGCTGGTTGGTCTTGTAAGGGTTCTTTATAGGAGCAACCAGCCTCCACTGCAGTTTTTCACTTAGAGCAGGGGGAAAAAAGGTTCATGTGTATAGGTGTAGGTGTGTGTATCTATCTATCTTCCACTCTTGTTGCCTTTTCAGTATCTGCATATATAGTCTGTATTTACAAAGTCTTCAGTTCAGGCACTTGGCATATAAAAGAACTCAGTGTGACACAAAGACACACATCATCTTGAAGGCATGAGAAAACAAACAAATATAGATTTCCTCCTCTAGACACCTTTGACAGAGACAATTGAACCATCATTGATTGCATGACTGGGAACCAAAAGTCTTAAATACAAAAGACAGAATCATGAGGGGCTGAACCACCGTGCTACTCTCAGTCTCTTCAGCCTCTTCAAACACAAAGAGGTTCAAGGTGCAAGCGTTTTTTGCACAAACAAACCACACAAGCTAGATATAAACAGGAAAAAGTTATATCAATGAAGGAAAAAAGTGTATTTCAAAGCCTGTGCTATGTGATATGTCAATGACTGTATCTCTGCTGCCCAGGCTCCCCAGGGAATGGGCACAGCCCCGAGGCTGCCAGAGCTCCAGGAGCCTTTGGACACCCTGCCAGGGATGCCCAGGGTGGGATTGTTGGGGGCATGTGCAGGGCAAGAGCTGGGCTGAGTGATCCTGGTGGGTCTCTTCCATTTCAAGACATTCTGTGGTTCTGTGTTACAGACAGTGGAGCTGAAAGCTTTTCAGTCAGGGATAAGTCTACCTGCAACAAATTTCACACCCAAGTGTGTTAGAGATATTATTTATCCTTTTTTCTACTGTATGGAACCTGGGAATATAGGAAGATTAAAAAAAGTACTTTGTAAGTGTGGAGACGAGATTGTGTGGTGACTACTGCAGAGCTGTGTCAAAATTGTTTACTCTTTACATTTGATCACCTTTCTGACTGTGTTGTCACCAGACATCTCCTGAGAGACTTAATCTGACACTCAGCTTTATGCTGTTGATATAAAATGAAAACAAGTCTTCCTCTAATGAATAATTTTTTCCACTGAATGGAAAACTTGCAGACTACACTTCACAGAACTGATTTTATTTGTATATATTTACAGGACTCCAGAGAGATGTCTGAAGTGCACAAAACTAATTGTATGTCAGCATAAGCACACAGAATACCTTTCACTGCATAGCTCTGCAGTTTGCTGTGCCATCACCTACTTTTAAAAGGTTTTGTGTTTAAAGATATTAATTGAAATAGATATTAATATGATTTCCATTAACTTGTACCATTTATATAAACATATGTTTATTCATGCATATGTGGTATGAACTGGAACATATTCTAGAACTACTCTTTATCTTTTAATTACATAACTTAATACAGGATGTAGAGATGTTGACAACTCATCCTGTAGGAGTGAAGTTTTAGATGAAAATGAAGGATGTCCAAATCAAAAGCATGCTGAAAGAATGAGTGCATTAGAATTGCAAGTCAGCCAAACTTCATGAGAATAGTGGCCTTAGAGAAACCAATGAACAGTGAAGATTAAACACAGCACGAAAATTATCAAGTAAGAAAGAGATGATTATTGTGTTATGTGATTTCAGTAAAAACTGGGTGACTCCTTAGATAAAATCACACAATAGTAGGGGAACAGCCCCGGCTGGGCCAGGCTGGCTCCAGAGCAGAGGGGCTCCAGGTCTCTGATGGCTGAGGTCTGAAATCAGACACATTTCTCTTACTGAGCCCTGTCTGACAGCTCTGCTGTGCTGGGGTAACTCACATAACCCAGGTTTTCATCTCAGTGCTTAAGAGAGTTCTTCTTCTCAAGACTGTGTAGAAGCAGTCCATGGAAATAAAATCTTGTGTCACGTACACTGTACAACCAAGAGTCTGGATCCCCTTTGCGTCATCTAACACTGCTCTGGGCAGACACTTGACAGATCCCGACTTGCTGGGCCTTTCTGGGCACCAGAGCCTTCATTTCAATTCAGATTATGTTGCTGAAGGCCTTCTAGGTAGCAAGGAAATAGTGATTACTAACAAGAAGTAAAAGTGAAGCACAGGAGCTACCCAGAAACCATAGGGATTTCAACCAAAGGATTTCAACCCACACAGATACAATAACAACCAGTTGTTGAACACTGCCTTATTTTTGATTCTTGTGCATCACCCATTACTCATATTTCTATATTTTGCATTTTACTTTGTGCTAAGCATCATTAAACCTTACAGCATCCTTGTGGAGAATCTGATAAAGGGCTTTATCTAGTGCTGGTTATGACAAGTGATACAACCCCTTCCCAGAGCCCTGATTCTTCTGCTCTCCTTTTAATATGTTTTGCAACTTACTGGAATTGTGAGTTGTCATGCTTAAATAATTTTTCACTGGCAAGAAGCTGCCTTAATGACAGGATGACTTATCTGCCATATGAGTTGGTTTATGTTGTTTCCTTCAGTCTACTGGAGCTGTAGAGCTTTTGTGATGAGACCACAGAAGCCTTTGGTGGGTGAGAGGAGATCATACTTTAAGGCCTGTCAATTTGTACACTGAATTCTCTAGTATGACAAATCTGAAGTTTTGTCCCCACTGGCTATGAAATAAAAAGTAGAATCAATTAGATTTGTCAAATACATGTTTTACAAGATTGAACGTGAGAGTTTGGGATTTTGCTTAAGTCACATTGCTGAGTTCCTCATACAAGGATCCTAATATCTAAAAACCGCAAGAAAAAAAAAAAAAAAAAAAAAGAGCAGTTGCTTGCAATAAGCTAAAATGTGGGGCTTAAAATGTCATTGATGTATAAGGGTTGTCATGAACTTTGCTATATCCTCTAGGTGGGTGGTCATATGGATAACAGATTATTTCAGTCAGAGTGAAAGGGAAACGGCTTGATTAAAACACCCAAGAAACAGTTTATTAAAAATCTGAGTGTTTTGAAATGAAATTGGGAAAATAGGGCTTCCTGCAGCATACTCCACTGCTGCTTGTCAGGAGACAGCATTGGTTTGATACAGCAAAAGACAGGAAGCACCAACATGTCCCTGAAACTCAATTCAATGTAGTCTGCAATAAATCATTCACACACTGCACAGTGGGAAAACCTCTAAATGAAGAGGGGTGTCAGTCTGGTTCAGAGAGGACCTGGGAAGCACAGGGGGTGGTGGTGTTGATGGGCTCCAAGGTGGGCTTATCTCCAGGGAGAAGCAGGAGGCAGCCTGGACTTTGCTGTGCCATTTCGGGCTGTTTCTGCTGGAGCTCCTGCTGCTACACCCACGACTGCTGCAGTAGAGCTGTGTTTTGCAACTTGCTCTGGTGCTGTGCTAGGCTGAAACCATGGAGAGACTTGTGTCCCAAATCAGTGGACAGATGGGAAGGGAACAACGTGTCTTTGGCAAGAGTGCATGTTTGGTCAATTGACATTGCTAATGAGGTAATGAGCAGCAGAGCCAAGCAATTCCAAGTGATCTGTGTGTGGAGACTTGGAGATGGGAGTTCATAATAAGAATGGCAGTGAGCAGCCAGTGACAGTTTGCCAGGAGCTTCCATGGTTGTGATGAAAAATATATCCTCAGGGCATCACAACCATCATCTTGACTGCACAGATGTGTAGGAGACCTGTGGAGTCATGGGACCAGGTCAGAAAAAGAATCCAGAAAAGGAGCCCCTCCAAGTAAAAAAAAAAAAAGCGCACTTTCCACTTTTCTGGGGATGTTCAGTGAGCTATACATGAACAGCCTTTGAAGGACAGAAATATAAAAGCCACTCCTTCTCTGAAGAAGATCAAACTTATGGGTTAATGGCTGGTCCATGGAAGCACTTTTGTTTTTTTGAAAGCAAAAATTTTAACTTGGACAACAGGCACAATATCTTGGTCCTTGTCTTGATGGATGGACCTATCTAATGCCATCTTTTATCAAACCCCAGAAAAGCTTACAACTGTCTATGACCA